GATGTGCTGGGGAGGATGCTGCTGCCATCACGGACCAGAGCAATTGGGGCTCTTTCCAAGACTGGACATAACCAAGGAAACAGAAAGCTCAAGCAAGCAGGACAACAGAGGGAATGGGGATAGGGGTGGGGAGGAAGTTGTGTGCAGCAGGCCCCCCTGGGGCAGGTAGTCAGGCTGACCAAGCCCAAGACCCTGAGTAGCAGGGTCCATTTGAACCTAGATCCTGGGCTTGTCTGTGCATTCCAGGGGGGCAACTAACCAAGCTGGTCCATGCGACTCATCCCCAAGTGAGTCACAGCTCAGCAGCAGCCTGCCGATCTGCTGCCTGGCCTTGGCTACCAGAATGTCCCAATACTGGCCCTTGAGGGCAGGGGCACCTTGTTTTCTTCTGAGAGCTCCTCTGTGGGTGGACACCTATTCTCTGATCTCAAGTGGACATCACACTTAAACAGCCTGTTTTGAAGTGGAAATGGCAGGTGCACACAGACATGCAACCCCAAGCTGGCTTTGTCAGTGTTGGATGTACAAACAGTGGCCTAAAGGGGCATCTGTACAGTTCTATGTGGTTTCTGTTTTTGTGTACAGATCCTAGATCCTTCCCTTCCCTTCAGAGACAAACTGGCATCAAGCTGGGGCCAGCCCTCCTTCCCCGCTCCGGCTCAGGCTAATGGCTTGAACTGCAGGCCATGTACTCACCCTGTTCCCAGCCTCCACTGTTGGTCAGACACTGAAAGGGGACAGAGCTGAGGCTTCTCTAGTTTCCTTGTGCTGTCTACTGGCAGCAACTTGCCATCCTTCAACAGAATTCACTTTGACAGCTGCACCTGGTGCTTTCTGCTTTGGTAGATGCCAGGCTTCAAGCCTTTGCTTCCCAATGAGCATCCCTGCATCAATTCTTCCAACCTTTCCTTGAGGTAGGATGTGCTGCCACTAACAGTATGGCTTTCTCCTTTTAATATATTTTGGTCCTACATTCCCTTCTCAACCAAAATATGTTCTGACAAGGCAGCTAATCTCACAGATGTAGGGTTTAAAGTAATAATAAAAAAACACAAAAATGTGTCTATGTATACTTGTGTGCATCTGAGTCCTGAGGATGAAACTCAGAATGTCAAGCTTGGTGGCAAGTCCCTGTATCTGGGGAGCTATCTCACTGGCCCAGATGTAGACTTGTTTTCAACTTGGTAGCAATCATGCAATATTTTTAAAAAATTTTATTTTTATTTTATGTGTATGCGTGTATTGCCTGCATGTATGTAAGTGCGCCCGTGTTGTACAATTCCCCAGAGGTCAGAAGAGGCTGTTGGATCCCCTGGGACTGGAGTTACAGAGTTGTTAGCTGCCATGTGGGTGCTGGGATTTGAACCCAGGTCTTCTGTAAGAACAGTCAGTGTTCTTAACCACTGAGCTATCTCTCCAGCCCCGCAATATTTTCTAATATTGCTGGAGCAGGGTGTCTAGCTCATTCCTGTAGGATGGCATTATGCTGTAAGCACTTAGGCACTTAGTTTTTTAATTAGACCAAACAAATGAAGTAAACCCCTGGCTTCCCAGGTGGACCACCAAGGAGAGCCTTCCCTTCCTTCAAACCTACTGCCGTGTAGATTTGGTCTCTCTCCTCATTTGTATGGCTTCTCCAGACACCAGTCTAACTCCTCCCTGTACTTTTAAGCCAGGAAGATGAGTATGCTCTCTACTAGGTGTGTTCAGCCTTCTTTGTGACATGTCATCTACAAAGTGACACAAGAACCATACTTGAGTTACAAAACAATCTCATGTTTTAAGGAAGTTTACGATTTTGTGTTGGGCATCATTTGTTGCTATCCTGGGGTGCAAGCTGCTTGTGGGCCACAGGTTGGACACTTGTGGGTGGGCCCCTGCTGCCAGCTTGGTCCAGTGTGGAGTTGCTGACAGTTGCCTTCGGTCTTGATGTTTCCTTGGTTGCTGCTTCTGTGGTATTTTCTCTTCTATGGTTTCTTCATTACTCGAAGAAGTGGTAGGTAGACAGTTGAGGGGGCCAGTAAACTTTGTCAGAGATTCCATCTCATGAAAGGACACTGGTGAGAAAGGCATTTGAAAGCTCGAAAACATGGCATTGTGGAATGTGTACGTCAAACAAATGGTCAAAAGCAATTTCAAAACCAGAACATTTTGGGGTACTGGACCTTGTGCATGCTGGGCAAGTGCTGTATACCACCAAGCTGCATCTCCAGCTTCAGAATACTTCAAGTCAGAATGGTATCTTTGGTCTTGTCTCAGTGTCCTCCCACTCTTTGTGCTCAGTCTACCTCAGAAAACCTATGTTTTTCTGGCCTCAGATGACTGATGGAATCCCCAAGCCCATGGAGTGGGAGCACAAGTGTGCAAAGGGGAAAGGGAAGCATCCAGGGAGAAAAAGTAAGAATGCTCTCTAAATTAGGTGATACAGGTGTATGGGATTGGTAATCTGGCACCTGATTCTCCAAACTACCTTCAGCTCTGGTCCCAGTGCTCCAGTCTGTACACCTCACACCTGTCCCTTCTCTACCTGCTTAGAGTCTATTACTGGGTTTCCCATCTTAGAGCTGTGTTGTCCCTGGCTCCATGGCAGCTTCTGCTCACCATTCACACATCTAATGGGTTGGTTCTCTTCTGGTCTTAACTCCACAAAAGGGACACTGGTTCCCCTGTTCCTTGTAGCTAAGAAATTCAAGAGCAATCTCACCAAACTAGGTGCTGTCCTTGCCTACTTCCTGTTTATAGACACAGTCTTGCTACGTAGCCCAGGCAGGACTTGAACTTAACTATTTTTTTAAGTCTATGACCTTAAAAAGCCTAGGCTTCCTGTTCTTGGCCTGGCCTAACCCATCACAGTTCCAAAGCTGGGATGTGACACAGGTCCCATCAGTTGAGGGAAAGATCATTGCTAAGCTCAGATGCCAATATAAGAAATTAGGCTGGGGCTGGAGAGATGGCTCAGTGGTTAAGAACACTGACTGTTCTTGCAGAAGACCCGGCTTCGAATCCCGGCACCCACATGGCAGCTAACAACTGTCTGTAACTCCAGTTCCAGGGTTTTTGATGGCCTCTTCTGTCCTTGTGGGCATTGCATGACATGGGTGCATTTACCTACCTGCAGGCAATACACTCACACACATAAAATAAAAATAATAAAATATTAAAAAAAAATTAGTCTGGAGGTGAGATGAGTGGAAGAACACTTGTTCTTAATGGAGGTTCTGGATTCATTGTCCAGCACTGTAAACATCCAAAACAGAAACAGGTACCCCACCCACATGGACTCTCAACTTTGGGAAGGGGAAATTATGAAAATAAGAATGAAGGGAAAGAAGGAAACAAAAGAACTTCCCCAGATAATCAGTATTTAAGATGCCCTTCATTTCAAAGAGAACCCTCACCTCCATCTTCCATGTGCACCATGGCTGACACCCAAAGCCACAAGAGTGTGAAGGCCATCGAGATGGCCCTGGTGATACCCTCAGAAAGCTGTTTTTAGAATTATTGCTTTTCACATTCCTGTTACTGTTACTTTTTAAATGTACACATTATGGATCGCCACAGAGAAGTATTACCAAAGGTACTAGAGACAGGTTTCTAAAACAGTTCTTGTCTTTTTCCTTTCTGAAGAAAGGTTTTCTTGAGCTTTATGTATCGCCCTTCCCCACAGAGCTGCAACTCTGGGAGTTCTTGAAGACAGCAATGGCAAGAAGGAAGCTGGCTGCTGGCTTTGCAGGTCTGTGGCAGAAACATCAGTGTTTGCTGAATTCATCTGAGATTACTAAACCAGAGTAAAATTCACATGGACAAGTTTCTTCCACTGTGTGATCTGCAACTGAAACTGGACAGCCTCCTCATTTCCTTCTTCCTAGCTACTGCTACCATCTTAATATGACTATCTATGAAGGCAACACATCCAAAGTGATGGGCTCTGGGCTCTCCCAACAGTCCTGCTGACTTTTCTACTTTCCACAGACCCAGTCAAGGCTCCTGTTCTGTGCTACTTTCAAAGAATCTAGACACAAACATAACCACTGCCTCCTGCCATATCCTCTGTGTCTGCAGTTCATACCATGTGGTCTTGGCCTGCCCATCACATTCCCTTTCCCACGGCCCTCTGGCTTGGTTTCTGCTTGTGTCTCTGCTCCGTCTTGTCCCCTTGAAACTGTGCTTTGCCCAGCCTAGCTAACAGCAAAGTCCTCATACAGGACTTTGGGCCCTCAATGGGGGGGGGGGGGCAGTCCTCTCATTTCCACTTCTCACTGAGGGTCTTCCTCATCATTATCAGAGACCTTGATTACTATTTCACCTGGAAAAGACATGGTATGAGGGAGCACCTCCCATTTCCTCCCTCCCATCTAGAAAATGATCGTCTTTAGCCATCCTTGATGCCAGATTCAGAAGAGCCCAGTGCACTCCTCCTGGCCCCATAAAAAAGCATTTAGGAAGACATGCTGTTTAGTGAGTACCTGCTCTGAGGTACTATGGTAATCACTTTGGATATATCTGTATACTCTTCCACATTCAAGGCAAGTGGAACTGGTTCCCTTGGTAGCTGACAGTCTGTAGAGTCTGAGTACAGAGACAGCCAGTTACAGCTAGAGTGGAGGGGCAGTGGTCAACCTAGCCTTAGGGACCCAAAGCCTGTCTTTCTATCCTACCATATCTAAAAACATTACCCAGTGCCTGTCTTTAAAATAAGTCACTGTATTGTCTCCAATATTGACGAGATCCAAATGTTCAACACATGCTAAGAGTCCTAAATACTTGATGTGAAAGAGGACTGCATCTGATATCTGCCCTACTCTTGCCTATACGCGTCTGAAAAGCGACCTGAACAACTGATAGAGACTAAAACCCCACACTCACCCCAGAGCCCCAGTCTGTGATCCTACTACTAATGCTACCAGTAGAAGTCAGAGGGCACACTGTACTGGAGGACTAAATGGTTCTGTACTTCACATGTGAAACTGCAATTAAACTGTACGTGCACAATACTGTTATTCTGGTAATACAGTGACACAATTTAATGATTCTAAGGATTTTTTTTTTGTATTTTTTTTTTTTACAAGTCGGGTGCCATAAACATTCAAATAATCCACCTTTTAAAAATTACGTTTACAACATCAAAAGAATTAAGATGAAATATAAACCTTTCTACTTACAATTTTTATACAGATTAACCAAATCACAATACCACAAATAAATGTTAAAGTTTAACAATATAATGAATAAACATTCGGATTCTTAATAAAATCTTCCTTCAACATTTTTTTTTTAAAACTTACCATTATCCTAAATAATCTATGCAGAGTTTGGGATACAATACCAAAAAGGCACCAACAGTACAAAGCAGATACAAAGCAATGTCAGAACGTTCTGGAGTGTTCTACATGGATAAACAGCACAAAAAGGCAACAAGCTTTAGGTAAACCTGATGTAATCCTAGAGAATTCACTCTGGATTCCCACTGTTGCTGATCCACCATGTCAAGTTGGATACAGTAAGAGAAATCACACTATTTACCCACTCTTACATGCTTCTTATCTGGGTTATAGGATACCATATTTCAAACACCAGCGTAACAATTTTAAAGCACAAATGCTTTAAAAATGTATAAGCAAAAGGACTGCTCAAGTTTTCAAAACCATTACAATTACAAAAATATTTCCCTTGAATTTGGGATTGCTCCAAAACATTGATTTACAAATACAAAAGTATTATGGAGGGACCCAAAGCATACGTGTATAATATGTATGTGTGTATTAACAGACTGTTACCATACTATATAAAAAAGTTACCAATTCAAAACCATATTAACATGAGCAAATAAAGATAAAAGTCTCTTCTGAATGGTCTGAATACTGTATGGCATGCAGTGTGGTGATCTACCTTGTGATTCCTCAGAGACAACCATAACTTCCCCAAACTAATGATTACCTCCACCTTTACTGCTTGTACCCAAAACAGGCAGGAACGAGTGTGAGGTGGATATAAATGTACTACATGCTATGCACTGCACACAGAACACCATGTTCTTTTACCTAGAGGCCTCAATGGTTTATGTCACTGTCAGCTCTGTAGACTGAGTCAGAGCAGTGCCCACTGTGGCTCTAGCATCTACCCTACTAGCTTGGTGGGTGTCTTTTTTTCATACTAAATGAAAGGAGTGGAATGTTTTAACAAGAGTTTTTTGCTCACATTTTAAGACACCAATAAAGCCACCCAATGGACAGCTTATCTATGCATACAAATAATGTAGGCACTCAGTGTCACCAGTGTGAACTGAGATGACCTAATCTGTTTATCTTTAGAAATGTAAGGAGAGTCTCAAAATGAGGAGTTCATTATACCTAACAGTTATCAGTTTCCATAGGTACCTTGGTTTTGACAGCTCTTTGACCTGTTAATTATATTTGTCACGGTGCTAAAAAAAAGAAAGAAAAAAAAAAAGCAGGACTTGCAGTGCAGTGACCCTAGAATGCCTTGAGTAGTTTCATGCCAATCTCATTCCATAATACTAGGAAAGGAGACAGCAAAAGCTCAGTCCCCAGATATTAGAAGCTGAGACTATGGTTTCTTTATTTAGAAGATTGCAAATCAAATCTCATAATATGAATATTTCCTTTAAAAAATACAAAGAAACAAATAGTGAAACGGTCAATGTTTCTTTAAAAAAATGAAAACTGACTACTGGTGTATCAAATAACAGTTGATTTTCTGTCCTGTCAATGCTGGGTGGGCTTCACCTTAGGTCTGTGTGGAAGTGAAAAGCATGTATTTAGGGCAAGATCAAGATGTGCTTCTGGTTTCTGAGGATGTGTCAGCCATCCTTTAGCCAGGTGAGGTGTGAGTGTCAGCACCGAACCTGGTGGCAGATGCCATGGGATATTCAGCAGCTCCTCCTTCCCCCGAATTCGGATGCCCAGCAACAGCCCTGGGGCACACGGGTGGGCAAGCCCTCTTCAAAGGGAGCCAGAGATTCCAACCTGGTATGTTTGGGCGTCATCATTCCTGTCTATTTGAGACCTATCATTTTTAACAGGGGAGTATGTCAAACTCATCTCTAAACAGAGGGTAAAAAGACCTTTTTGAGTCACCTTATGTGAACTGGTGAGTGACACAGTGCCCAGGGGGGTAAAGTGAGGCCCATGAACATTTCTGTTTGAAGCACAAATTGAATATGACTGTCCACTTAAGACACGCTGATCCAGAGGAAATCAAAACTGAATCTTATCATGAATGTGGAGATAAAAATTTACATTTATTTCCATGAATTACAAGTGCATTGCTGTTCATATTAGCAGGCAGTCTTTATATAACCCATTCTCCATTGCTGTCAAAAATCAAACAAGAAAAAAAAAAAGGACAGCTGAGAAATGAAAAGCTAAAAACAGAATTATTGTTCCTAAATGATCTGCTGGATAGCATTCTTTGTGGAACACAACTCAGAGGTCACAATAGATTTTGCTCAGTCATAGGATGTGGCACTTGGACAGTGGTCTCTGTACAGAAAGCCGTAACAGTCATGCGAGGGCACAGTAAGTATTGAACAAGGCAAACTTCTCATCAGAGAGCAGTGGGGGAGCCAGGAGGCACTGCACTGGGACAACACCGTCAACTCCACAGCACACAGCGCAGGAACAAATATTAGAGAGATCAGGAAATATGGAGAGCTCTGAACATAACTTTAGTGCTAGCTTTTTATGACGTTCGTAACTCAGCAGTACCAGAAATATCTTAAAGTACTTGGCGACAGAACAGAGCTTCATGTTGAGAGCTCATGAAGGTTTTATTACAAATCATTATACCGTAGGTTGAAAAGTGAGCTTGAGATGCTGACATGCTGTAGAAGGAAAAGAACTGTACACTTTCTCATTTAAAGACGCAGTGTTCCTCTTTGCTAAATCCTGAGGCATTGAATGTGGTTACTCAAAGAGCCTCGTGCATGAAACAGCTCAAGGCATTTGCACACTGGAGTATGGAGCTCCACCCTGAACATCCAGGTCAGCTTGCTCACTACTTCTCCAGAAACTTCCACAGCTCAGTGTGTGACCATGTGCATATCTTGCACCAAATGCCAAGCACAGCTGTTACACTAAGGATAGCAAGTAACACTTTTTGTCAAGTGCTACACCTCTATAACAATAAAAGTAACCACAGGAAATCTGCAGAATAACATTACTAGTGCAGTGCTTCCTTTCTAGAAAAATGATTAAATTTCTTAAAAGCTGGGCAAAAGATACATACCTTAAATATGTGACTAACATGATATACACAGACAAGTGCTCCCAAAGGACTCCCGAGACGGAAGCACCTGCTGGAGGCTGCAACACCATTCAAGGTATTTCCACAAGCCCCTGCTCTGGGGGGATGGTTATAGTCAACAGATGAAGTGCAAATTTGGGGCTGTCACTGACTTAAAGTGCCCTAGGTAATAGCCTTCCCTATTGTAAAGTGAGAGGCCAGTGACTGGAGCCAGTCTGGAAAGACTCTTGCTCTGGTGAGGCCGCACAGTTCAGCAGGGTGACATGTAGAAAGGATTCAGGAAAGGGAGGAACCACTGCATCTTTCAAACCAGAAAGCAGTTAGTGACTAAAGCAACGGTAAGCAGCAGGTGCACTCAAAGTACATACTGCTGCAGGTCACTGGTGGGTGACACACACAAGGGTGCCAGGAAGAATTCTCTGGACTGAAGGAATTCTTTGAAAGCATAAAAGCCACTACTACCAGAAACTGCCCCTCCGAATGGCTCAAAGGAGTCAAAGTAGATAAGCTGAGACAGGCTGGAGACAGGACCAGGGGTCAAGAACTGGGAAGAACACCAATATCCGAGCACGTCCAGTCCTCTGAGCCCTTGTCCTGTAAAAATAAAAATAAAAAGACAAACCCAAGAGTAAGGATTGAACCATGTCAGAACAATAAAAGTAGCAACAGCACAAAATGGCCAAGTGAAAACGAAGGGGAATAAAGAACAGAAGAAAAGGTCACTGTACTCACACATACCTGACATGTGTAACACATGCCAGTTCTCAAAGGGCCGGAGCTCTGCCCTCATGTCACAGGTACCTTTCTCAGTTCTTAGAGGCTGTTTCTGTAACACTTGCAGGGAATACACATGTGCACATATATTGACAATCATTGCCAGTTGGCTTCCCAAGATGCCCTTTACTAGCAATGTGGTATCTACCATTCCAGTAATCAAAATTTTAAAGAACGTTGTAAAATACTACATCCATCTCTGTTGGAAAGATCTACTTCCTCCTGTGTTTAGTACATTCTCTGGGTGGTTAGGTAGGACAAGGTTGGCTATGTATGCAATGAGATGTGTGGTGTTAATGCCTAGGTCTTCTCTGTGGGCACTGAGGGGAGAGGACTGGAATTCTGGAAAGGTGAGAACTGTAGCTGGTTCCCATCGGCAGAAGGTGAAATGGAACATCCATGTCAGAAAACTTGCCAGCTATCTTCCTGTCAGCTTCCATTTGTCTACAGTCAGTCAGGGACCCCTGGAGAGCTGGGGGCCTGCATTTGGTCACTTGCAGTACCACCCCAGGAAAACACAAGTCACATTTCTCCTTTATTCTTATGAGATGTTTTTATTTGGGAGAAACTGTACACCAAACCAAATCTACTCTCACCATTTACAGGCTAGTGATTCTGAGCCCTGAGTATCAAGAGTCTCTGGAGGGCTTGTTAATGTTTGCATTACTAGGATGGGGACAGATGGCCTTTACTCAGGAGAGTCAATGCCACAAAGGACTTGTCAAATCCGGCATGGTGGCGCACACCTTTAAACCCAGGACCGGGAGGCAGAGGCAGGTGAATCTCTAGGATATCAAGGCCAACCTGGTCTACATAGTGAGTTCCAGGCCAGCCAAGGCTACAGGGAAACCCTCTGTCCTAGTTTATTTCTTCATTGCTGTGACAAAATACTCTGACCACTACCAACTTGGGGAGGAAAGGGTTTATTTGTCTTACATCTCCCAGGTCACAGTTCATCAGGGAGCCCAAGGTAGGAACTCAGGGCAGGAACCTGGAGGCAGGAGCTAGAGCACAGGCCATGAAGGAACACTGCTTACTGGCTTGCTCCCCTGGCCCCTGCTCAGCCTGCTTTCTTATGCAACACGGCCCACATGCCCAGGGGTGACACCACCCACAGTGGGCTGGACCCTCCCACATCACTCATCAAGAAGATGCCCTCAGACATGGCCACAGGCTAGTCCAATAGAGGCAATTCCCCAACTGAGGCTCCCTCAACCCAGGTTTATCAAGTTGACACTAAAGCTAACCAGCACACCCTGTCTCAAAAAGACTTAAAAATAAATAAAATAAAATAACTTGTCATCAGAGACCTATCTATAAGCAAAATATAACAAAAACACTCTGACTTAAGGCTACCATATGGACATCATTAACAAGTTTCTAGCTGTTTCTTGCTGCAGCTAAGCAGTTGAGCTCACCTTGACAGCCTAGAAAGTTCAACTCAGCTACTTTACTCAAGAGGCTCTGCCTGACTCTTTGGGGCCTGCTGGACCCTTACTCACCTCTGCTCTAGTAACCCTGACACTGTATATACACATTTGCTCCTTACCTGCTCCATACTATCAAGCTTCAGGATAAGAAAACTTGGGTCTTACTCATCTTTGTTTCCTTCCTAACTGGGAACATTCAATGCTGACTAAATTAACGATGAAAAAACGAATCTTTCTGCCAACCACAGATTTCTATCCATACTACACATGGGTACTGCTTCTCCCCTGCTAGGTTGCTTCTGCTTAGCTCACACCCCATTATTGGGCACAGACTGCATGTCTGAATTAAGACAAGCATGACCGAGACTGGAGACCACTGATGGGCTTACAGAAAATGGCCTATGTGAGGAACTGTTAAGAAGCTGCTTAGCTCAATCTTCAAGGCCAGGGGTTAGTAAATTGTTCTGTAAAGGCCAAAGAGTACATGTCTTGGATTTTGTATGCCTATTGGATCTTTCACAATTACCCCATCTACTGTTGTAGAACTAAAGCAGTCACAGGCGACCCATGAGCACGTGCATGGCTGTGTGCAGACACAACTTTATTTAACACAGGAAGCAGGCTGACCCAGGTCCAGTCAATGTGACCTTGTGCAGTCACTGGGAGAGCAAGTCCTGGAACTTCCTGAAGGGAGAACGGCTCTTGGGAAACAGATAAGCTGTTACACAGTGTCTTATAGAGAAGCCAGGAAGGAAACTCTGTGGGGACTGCCTGCATCAGTGACAGACTGCACAACTCACTGCCCAAGGTAAATGTAACAGACTGTTGTATTTGAATGCTCCTCGATGCCCTATTTTATACCGCACTATCTGTACTGTGGGCATGAGCTCCTTCTGGCCTTACTGAGCTGAGAGCTTGTTTATCAGGGTATACATAGGTTTAGTGGTACTCCATTCCCTCTTCCAGGTGCCAGGCTTAGGAAATCTGAGATCTTCCCCACTTTGCTTCTCCTCCACCCCCTAGAATCCATGGTTTCTTACCAATAGGCCCCTTATCCAAAGCCGTGGCCACTTTGCCAGGGAAAAGCAGATTTTAGCTGACCTCCTACCTGGTCTTCATTACAGCCCCATCTGCTCTGATGTCAGACATTTCCCTCTTTGCTACTTTGGGAAGACAGGGCTTTGGCATGTATCCCAGTGTGACCTCAAACAACCTGAGTGCTGGGATTACAGGTGTGCAGCACTATATTTAGCTCAGATTGTCCACCCTACAAACTATTAAATGTATAGTTCTAAGATCTCCTATCAACTGGCTTTGAGGGCTCTGCTCTGAGACCATGCCCACCTTGGCCCATCTTCCTTTCTCTGGGTCTCTATTCTTAGTGACTGGGCACCCTACCACCAGGCTTCCTTGGTAGCTGGCTTCAGGTGAGATCTTGCATCCTTCCTTTATTGCTTCCAATGACACCTGCAATACAGGCTCTAGAAGTTGTCCTGGCTTTTCAAGAGGGTAGTGTAAATGAAAAAGGTTGCTTTAGGCATTCTGCAATCCTGAGTCAGTAGTGGTAGAGGCTTCTGATCCCACTGTCTCCTCAGTGCTCATGGAAGCTGTCAGCTGCAGTTTCATGGGTTTTCCAGCACCCTCCCTTGATCAGGGATCTGGTTAATACCTTTTTCCCATTTGCTGCTTTAGCTGGAGATGAGGGACAGTTACCTGCCTTGTGAGTAATCTTGGTAACTTTATATTCCCTCTTTGCTCTCTAGCCCTTCTAGTCCCTTTCTGATCAATTCACAGCTTTCACTGGAATGACCAGGACTGGCTCCTGGTTTCCAGTCTGAACCCTGGCCAAGTCACCCAGACCCCAATATATGCTGACAAAAAGCACAAGAAAGAGTGGAGGTGAGATCTACTTCACAAGTTCTCAAAGGAGAACCACTAAACTGATCTAATAAAACCCCTGATTGGCTGGATGTGGTATAGCATATCTTTAATCCCAGCACTTGGGAGGCAGATTCAGGTAGATTTCTGTGAAATTGAGGCCAGCCTGGTCAAGTTTCAGGCCAACTGTGGCCAACAGGGAAAAACAGTCTCAAAACAAAACAAAACAAAAAAAGTCCCACCAAACCCAAACAAACTCCATTATAGTCTCCTGTTCAACAGAACCTTGATGTACCTTGGGCATTAGGTCTACAGTCTGTATTATAATAAACATGGCTGCTTATAAAAAGACAGCTTCAGGGGCTGGAGAGATGGCTCAGCAGTTAAGAGCACTGACTGGTCTTGCAGAGGACTTGGGTTCGATTCGCAGCACCCACATGGCGGCTATGAACCAGCCTTAACTCCAGTTTCAGGGGAATCTGACGTCCTCTTCTGACCCCCACGGCATTGTACCACATGGGTGCACTCACATACATGCAGGCAATACACTCATACACATAAAATAAAAATAATAAATAAAATAGTAAAAAAAAAAAAAAAAAAAAAAAAAAAAAAAAAAAAAAAAAAAAGACAGCTCGAGCCCCCTCCACGCTGCTTCTGTACAAATCATTTCCCAGCAAACTTCATCCCTGTCCACAATGCTTTACCTCAACACTTATTCTCTCTCCTTTTGCCACATACTCTTCCCCAGTACCTAAACTCATGCGGCTCCACCCAGGTCCAGATTAATCCTTCTGAGACTCTCCTTGTTAAATCTTTTCTGAGTTTCTCTTGCCTGCATTTCAGGTGTAAACCAAGAACACTGTTTAGGCCTCTGGTGTGCAGTATCATCTGAGGAACCAGGTCAGACATGTTCTCCAGGGACAAGTTCCTGTATGTTTATTTCATTTGTATCTATATCATCAGAGGAAGCATGTATGGAAGATTCTAACACTGTGGATTTACTTACTCTGTAGTTATGCTTTCTACAAGAGGAAGGGAGTCTTGATGAGAGGCCTTTACAGAGATGCTGATGTACTGTGAATCTGTCCAAGCACAGTCAGCAAGGAAAGGACAAGAACCCAAAGATGAACAAACAGCTGCCAAATAAGCACATTTGTTATCCTTGAGCAGAAACAAAAGGGACTTCTAATTCCTAATTACAAATGGGTATTGTGGTAGCAGGTGGGAGGAACATAACTTCTGAAGAAGTAAATAAAACTTTCTCCATTATTCAGTTCCAATTTAAAGGAGCATGGAGGGGCTGGAGAGAGAGTTCAATGGTAAGAGTAATGGCTGCTCTTGTAGAGGACCCGGGTTCAGTTCCTAGCACCCACATAACAGCTAAAAACTGTCTGTAACTCCAGTTCTATAGGATCCAACATCCTCCTTCCCCCTTCCCATGATGTGCCTCTTCTCTCTTGCCTTTCCAGGCAGTTTCTTCTGTACAGTCTCTGGGATTCTTCCCTCTCACACATTGTTTTCCTAGCACTCTCTTGGCTTAATTCTCCTATCACTGCTTGTCCTGACTTGAGTTTCAGTTATAGCACTGAGTGAATTAAATTCTATCTTCTCAAATCTTTAGTTTTCAATGTTTTTATTGGCATATATTAATTTTACATAATAACAGGTTTTCAACAACATTTTCATACATATATAATGTATATTCACCCATTACTTTCTCCCATTAATCTCCTCCCTCTTCTCAAATATTAGGTACCTTCTTAGCATGCATGAGGCCTTGGATTCAACGTCATATGAAGCAAAAAAAGAATTGTCAGGAATGAACACCTCAAACTTGTTCCTTCCCATGAACTATTTTCTCACATCCATATACTCTCAAAACAACACGATCACAGTAGCTATTATTCTTTAGTTTTGGTTGAGACCCCATCTTACTATCCATCCTTGGCTGGCCTGGAATTCACTAAATAGACCGCATTGGTCTTGAACTCACAGAGATCAGTCTACCTATTTCTCTAGTGCTGGGAGTAAAGGCATGTGCCACCACTCCCAGCTCAACAGTAATTATTACTCTAAAAACTGCCACTTTTAATTTCACATCAACTTCATGTCATCACAATCTGTGAAAGACGGGTGTAATTTCTCCAGTTTCAAGTTGTGAAGCAATCAGAATAAAACCTACATTCAATTGAAGAGGAATACATTCTTTTTCTTTCTCATGATATTTTTTAACTTGTACTCTCTCTCCATTGCTAGGGTTAACCGTACGGTTAAAGTTTTAGGTACCAACTGGGCGTGGTGCTGCATGCCTTTAATCCCAGCACTGGGGAGGCAGAGGCAGGCAGATTTCTGTGAATTCCAGGCCAGGCTGGTCTACATAGTGAGTTCCAGGCCAGCTGGGGCTACAAAGGAGACCCTGTCTTAAAAAAAAAAGTTTTAGGTACCTGACAAGTTTAAGATCTGTATCCTGGCTGGAATCTAGCAGTCTCTTCAAAAATGAGTTCTTTGAGCTTCTCTTTAGGCAAGTCATCCAATTCCATGTCAAACTTGAATGGTGCTTCAGCAATGGGCTTTAAGAGAAAACAAAACATTTACTAAAAAGTTATTATGGCTAAGACAGTAATTTAACTGAATCATAATATGACTCTGGACTGATGCCTCACAAAACCCGAAAGCCCCAGAGCTAGGGTTACAGCTCAACAGTAGCGTGTGTGAAGCCCTGGGCTCCATCCTAGCACAGTACAAAAACAGAGTAGGAGTAACTGACTATTTTGGTAATTCTGCTGGACTCACCACAAATCCCAGAATAATTTTCCAAATGTTTTAAGGCACCAAATGCTACAATTACAGAACTAGGGATGTTGGTATGTTAATACAATCAGAAAAAAAAACAACAAAAACCTAGCCCAGTCTGGTGGCACTTGTCTATAATCCCTACTACTTGGGAGGCTGAGACTAGAGGACTGTAAGTTTGAGGTCAGCCTGGGGAACTTAGCAACATCTTATCTTGAAGTAAAAAGGGGCCAGGTGTGGTGGCGTACGCCTGTAGTCCCAAGCACTTGGGAGCCAGAGGCAGGCGGATCCCTGTGAGTTCAAGGCCAGCCTGGTCTACATAGTGAGTTCCAGGACAGCTGGGGCTACAGGGAGACGCTGTCTCAAAAAGACCAAAATATATATATATAGTAAAAAGGGTTGGGGATATTGGCTCAATGGTAGAGCACTTGTCTAGTATGCACAAGGCCCTGGGATCCATGTCTAGTATCACAAAATGAAAATGTTAAACTGAAACTAAAATAAAAAGATTTGATTTAAAGAAATTAACAGTATGAAGAAATATAATGATACTGTTGTCTGAAGGAATCTTATAGAGCTATTAAAAACAAAGCTTCAACGTATCATGGGGAAATGCCCATGTTTGCATATAAGTGAAATAACCTTAAAAAAATGTAGACATGAAAAAATATAAGACTGGGAAGAAAGGGCTCCTTACCCTAATCTAAAGACTTTGTTGAAAGACAAAGTTTTGCTTTGTATATAGTCCAACTTGGTCTTAAATTTACAATCAATTACCTTGAACTGATTGATCCCTCTTGCCTCCACCTCCCAAGTGCTGGGATTATAGCATGTGCCACCATGTCCTGTTTTATGCATTGCTGGGGACTGAATCCAGGGCTTTATGGATGTTGTATCAATATGAGCAACAACCTAGCCTCATATTTTGACTTTTCAAAGATATCATTCTTTACATTTATTTATAATTTTGTGTGTATGTGTGTGGGAGCATGTGTGACAAAGTATGCACAGGAAGTCAGAGGACAACCTGCAGGAGCTTACCACGTGGGTCCTGGGGATCAGCTTGTCAGCAAGTACATTTACCTGCTGAGCCATCTTGTTGATCCCATATTTTGATTTAAAAAAAAAGGGAGGGGGTGTCTGGAGAGATGGCTCAGCGGTTAAGAGCACTGACTGCTCTTGCAGAGAACCCGGGTTTGATTCCTAGCACCTACATGGTGGCTATGAACCATCCTTAAGTCCAGTTCCAAGGGCATCTGAAGTCCTCTTCTGACCTCTGCAGCATTGTGTAACACAGGTGCATTCACATACATGCAGGCAATACACTCATACACATTAAATAATAAAATTTGGAAAAAAAAAATTTTATTTCCAGGTGTGGTGGCTCAAGCCTTTAAAGGCAGAGGCAGGCAATCTCTGTGAGTTCAAGGCCAGCCTGGTCTACATAGCAAGTTCTAGGTCAACTGAGGCTACAGGGATACCCTGTCTCAAAATAAAAATTAAAAAAAAATTTATTTATTTATTTATGTGTAGGAATGTTATTGCCTGCATGTGCATAAGTGCACCCATGTCCTGCAATGCCCTTGGAGGTCAGAAGAAAGTGTCGGATCCCCTGGAACTGGAGTTATGAAAGGTTGTTAGCTGCTGTGTGGGTGCTGAGAGTTGAACATGGGTCCTTTGTAAGAGTAGTCAGCGCTCTTAACCACTGAGCCATCTCTCCAGGCCCCATATTTTGATTTTTAAATGACAATAACTAAAATGCTACGGGACTAGTATGGGCAATGATCTCTGAACTAGTATATGCCTAGACCTCCAGATCTCATGTACCTAGTCCTCATACAAGACCTTTAAAAGGGAGAAGAGGCATGGGCACTGCACTATACTTTGGTTAGGTGAAAATAATTCATGTTTACAAGGGAACAATAGCTGTCTCTCAAGGATTCTTGGTGTACAGGACCATACCAAGTATCCTATGTCATCTACTCTCTCAGCTTACTGGTTATAACATCAGAGCCTTAGGAAATAAGTGCCCAGATCCTAAGGCTGAAAAGAGCCCGAGATCTTGAATTTCCAGGTATTTTACAAGCTGCCTAAAGTGCTTGAGGGGTGGACTTGGATGTGGCAGGGAATACCAGCAAAACAATACTTCCTCCAGCTGTGTATGGTGGTGTATTCCTTGAATCCCAGGAGGAAGATGCACAAATGGATCTGCCTGGTCCACAGAGTGAGGTCCCAGGCCAACTAGGGTTACAGGGAGACCCTCTGTCTCAAGAACAAAAAAACAACCAAACAAAACATCTTCCTTATCTTGATTTCTATTTTCTTTCTTTTCATCAGCTTTTAGCTATGACATTTTCCTTTTCTTTTGTACCTTAATTTTCACATTTCACTTGCTTCTACTTTAAGAACAGGTATGAAGATTTTCTGTGCATATATAAGCCCCAACCTAGAACAAGTTTTTTTTTTTTTTTTAATTTTTATTTTATGTGTACACACATTGCCTGCATATGTGCACCCATGTTGCGCAATGCTCTTGGAGGTCAGAAGAGGGCATCAGATTTCCTGGAACTCAAGTCATGGACGGTTGTCAGCCATCATGTGGGTACTGGGAATTGAACCTGGGTCCTCTGCAAGAGCAGCCAGTGCTCTTAACTGCTGAGCCACCTCTCTAGCACCACAAGTTAAAAGTTTCAGTTCATGTTACATTTGTGTTAACCTCCACAGGATAAAGGTTAATGAAACTTGCAGAGGACCCAGAGCAGCAAGGCACTAGATTGTCCTGGAGAGAAGTCTATCTGGAGGAACTACCAAATCCAGCTCTGGACTTACCAATGCTTACCACAATAAGCTTTTAGGTTCCATCTCCAGGGAATGGCTTACCCGACAGTCATGAAGTCACAGTGTGAACCACTTGGCTGACTTCTTACTTCCTCTGCTATCCCACAGCAGGATGCCCATCTCATTATCTGTATATTCACAGGGCCAGCATATGGTTCAGGTATCTACCTCTTCTTGTCATGGACCACCACAATCTCTAGCCCTGGAGCCTCATCCTCTTGCATGTTCCACAGTGGTACAGCTGTTCTTTGTCTGTGCACTGCCCCAATCCCTACCTGCTGCAGGTGTCCTGGAGGAACTCCTCTGAGGCAGATACCAAGAGTGTGGGGGCTGTTACCTACAGTACTAGTCCTCAAGGCAGGAGACAGGTATGCCATTATGTACCTCAGTAAACTCTGAGCACATGGCTGGGGCTGCTGTTGGCTACTCATCATCCCTGAAGCAGCAGTCAGGAGCATGAGCTCTTACCTCGTCACTTGGGTCATAATACTGCTCCAGATATGGGTGAGCCAGAGCCTGTTCTACTTCAATCCTCTTGTGAGGGTTAAATGTCAACATTTTGTCCAGTAAGTCCAGAGCTGCAAAGAGAAAAATTTATGCGGCGGTGAGAAGCTAGTCACCAAAATATTTTCCATTTCCTATTTAACAGAGAACTATCACTATAAATCTAGAGACTACGTGAACATAGGTGTTGACCACATAGTAATCATAGATCCCAACTCTCAGAGAAAGGGAATGGCCAGCTAAAGGCTAAAAGTAAAGATTGGGGTTCAAACCCAAGTTCAACTCTAAACCTGGATATTTCCTATACTACTCAGCTTTGCAGTACCAAAAGCAAAGTATTTGTAGGTAGTCAAGCATAGAACCTGAGTGTGGACCCCCATCATTCACATAAAAAAAAGCCAGGCTTAGGGGCTGGAGAGATGGCTCAGTGGTTAAGAACACTGGCTGTTCTTGCAGAAGACCAGGGTTCAAATCCCAGCACCCACATGGCAGCTAACAACTGTCTGTAACTCCAGTCCCAGGGGATCCGACAGCTTCTTCTGACCTCCTTGGGCACTGCACGACACAAGTGCACTTACCTACATGCAGGCATAACACTCATACACATAAAATAAAAATAAGCCGGGCGTGGTGCTGCATGCCTTTAATCCCAGCACTGGGGAGGCAGAGGCAGGCGGAGTTCTGTGAATTCCAGGCCAACCTAATCTACATAGTGAGTTCCAGGACAGCTGGGGCCACAGGGAGACTGTCTCAAAAAGACCAAAAAAAAAAACAAAACAAAACAAAAAACCCCAAAACCCAGGCTTAATGGTGCACACTGGTAATCCCAGTGCTGGGAAGGCAGACTGGAGGCTCTCTGGGGCTTGCTAGACAGTCTAGCTGAATTGCTGAGTTCCAGCTGTGAGGTCAAAAGTGACTAAGGAAGACACCTAGCGCGCGCACACACACACACACACACACACACACACACACACACACACACACACACGAGGGCACCCAAACAGCCAGAGACACACAATATGCATATACCATACTTATACACCCAAGTAAGGCACAAAGTAATCAAGGATACCTGATTGTCAACCTCAGACCTCTATGCACATGCACACAAATGTGTACCCCCACACACATGTACGTGTATGTACACACTCACCCACACTCCCAATGTATTTTTTTTCTTTTTATTTCATCTTTTTGAGACAGGGTCTCCCTGTAGCCCCAGCTAGCCTGGACCTCACTATGTAGACCAGGCTGGCCTTGAACTCAGAGATATCCACCTGACTCTGCCTCACTAATGCTGGGACTAAAGGCCTGCACTACCATGCCCGGCCCAATGTATTTCTTTTAGATCCACACTAGTGTTGCCTACATGTATATAGTTGGAGGGTGGCCCAGTGTAGCATGGACTATCTACCAGGGACCCTACTCCAGAAGAAAGCTGACTTTCCCCAGTTACCTGCTAACTACCTGCAGCTTCTCAACCAGGAGTAGGGGTCTTGTGAGCACCACTCTAGGTATAGGTGCTTGAAGCTCAGTCTTTTTTTAAAATTATTTATTTTTTATGTGTATAAGTGTTATGCCTACATGTATGTGTCATACAGTTATCTGCAAAGGTTGGAAGAGGGTGTTAGATCCCCTAGAACTGGTGTTATGGACAGTTGTTAGCTGCCATGTGGGTTCTAGGATATGAACCCAGGTCTTCTGCAAGAACAGCCAGTGCTCTTTATCACTGAGCCATCTCTCCAGCCCCCCAAAGCTCAGTCTTTTATTCAGTGTTGTTTTGTGAGAGGGGAACCTGGGGTGACATCAATTTAGTGGCTAAGGCAGCAGAAGGGAGGTGTCACTGGGGTCAAGGAGGCTGTTGAGGACTCAGGACAGGTGGTGGGGCAGGCTGAGGTGTCTAAACACTGACAATAATGACCCTGTGAGTAGTTGCTTGGGCAAAGTACTGAGGCAGGTGGTATGGGGCCAAGGCTTACACCAGCACTGAAGAGTGCAACTTGCTGCTAGGACTGGGTCCCAGGAAAAGTACAGGGGAGGTAGAAGCAGGGATATGGGAACTTACCAACTGTGCTGGATAGCTTTAGTGTCAACTTGACACACCTGGGTTGAGGGAGCCTCAATTGGGGAATTGCCTCTATTGGACTGGCCTGTGGCCATGTCTGAGGGGCATCTTCTTGATGAGTGATGTGGGAAGCCTCAGCCCACTGTGGGTGGTGCCACCCCTGGGCGGGTGGGCCTGTGTTGCATAAGAAAGCAGGCTGAGCAGGGGCCAGGGGATCAAGCCAGTAAGCAGCGTTCCTCCATGGCCTGTGCTCTAGCTCCTGCCTCCAGGTTCCTGCCTTGAGTTCCTACCTTGGGCTCCCTGATGAACTGTGACCCGGGAGATATAAGATAAATAAACCCTTTCCTCCCCAAGTTGGTAGTGGTCAGAGTGTTTCGTCACAGCAATGAAGGAACAAACTAAGACTCCAACTGAACTCATGAATGCAGCCTGAGTTAGGGCTGAGGGGCAGGGTGAGGGTGAGAAATGTAAATTAACAGTCTGAGAGTGTGGCTCTAGCTAGGACTAAGTGTGCATTTGTAGGGGAAAGTAGCAGGGGAGGAGGATGAGGGACTGTGAAGGTTTATCAACCAAACCCAAGATGTCCAAAGTCATTTTTCCAATGGTCATTTTGTCTCCTGACACACAAAAAGGCCTCCAACAGTCACAAAAGAAAACAGTCTCGGGGCTCAGTGGTTAAGAACTCAGTGGCTGATTGTTCTTGCAAAAGACCCGGGTTTGAATCCTAGCACCCACATGGCAGCTGACAACTGTCTGTAACTCCAGTTCCAGAGGATCCAGACAACCTCTTCTGTCCTCTGAGGGCATTGCATGACATGGGTGCACTGACCTACATGCAGGCAATACACGCATACACATAAAATAAAAATAAATAAATAAATAAAAAAAAGACAATAGTCTTATTTCTAGATCCTAGCTGACAGTGAAGTGTGACTCACAGGCCCCAGGCCTACTATACAATCTAGAGTCTTTTCCTAAGGGCCAAACCTAAAAGTACTCTTTGACTGGGTGTTGTCAATAGCTGAGCGCTTCTCTTGCATCAGGAGCCCAGCCTGTAGGACCAAGCACAAATAATGACCACCATATTCTGTAGGCCAATGCAGTTAGTTGTCAGGTACTACTTCAAGTCATGAGGATGGCCAAAGGGCAAGATTAATGGAATACTTGGGACAAAGGGTAAAGGAGACCCTACAAAATACTTTTGTTTTAGCAGGGGTAGGTGTGCGACTGAAAGAAGACATGCTAGACAATACATTGTTTTGAAGAAGAGGCAGCAAAAGGAGTTTCCTTAAAAACCATTTTATGCTTCCTTTGATTTAATGATAATTAGACTAGCTATTTTCAACTTAAGTAGCAGGTCTGTGGTGGTCTGAATGAGAAAGGTCACTCAGAAACACATGCATTTGAACACTTAACTCCCTGTTGGTGGGGCTGTTTGGGAAGGCTATGGAACCTTCAGGAAGTGGAGCCTTGTTGGAGGAAGTACATCACTGGGGGTGGGCTTTGAGGTTTTATAGCCTGACTCAATTTTCTGTTTTCTCTCTGTTTCCTGACTGCTAGGCTGCCCTTAAGCTCCTGCTACCAAGACTTCCCTGCCAGGATGGACTGCATTCCCTCTGCAAGTGTTGGTGAAAATAAACTCTTTTTCCCTCTAAGTAGCTTTTGGTAATGGTTATTTTATCACACCAACAAAAAAACTAACTAGACTCTTTTCTTCAAATTAATCCCTAACAGAACCTTAAGATACCAAATAGACAACACATCCTCTCTTGGGTCTTAAATATTCCTGAAAAATCCAAGGCTTAATTAAGTCTAAAAATTTATTCCAAGTCTGAAAAACTTGTAATCAGTAAAGAACAAATTTTAGAGAATGTGACACTGAAATAAGGCAAAACCAAAAATATGGGCAATCTACTTAGCAAAGCTTCTCTTCTTATAGTGATTTCTGAGTAGGTTACTTGCAGATGGCAATAGTCCCAAGAGATGAATTAATTATATTGATGAATTAAGTATATTGGTACACTGTTCATGATCAACTTAAGGAATGAGTTCTAGCTTACTTTCAGGAAATAAGTTTCAATCATTCACTCATTTAAAAAAGGTTCAACCCATGGGGCTGGAGAGATGGCTCAGCAGTTAAGAACACTGGCTATTCTTGCAGAAGACCCGGGTTTGAATCCCAGCACCCACATGGCAGCTAACAACTGTCCGTAACTCCAGTCCCAGGGGCTCCAACAGCCTCTCTGACCTTCAAGGGCATTGCACGACACGGGTGCACTTACCTACATGCAGGCAATACATGAATACACATAAAAAGGTACTCAGAAGTTGTGTACATGCTCATGCTAGCATGCAATTTTAGATATCACTTTCTACTTTCTTTAGTGCATGCCACCTAATCTAAGATGAGGAAAAAAGAAATGTGGTAAATCACCCAATGGACACAGTAAGATATTCCACGCAATAGAACTTTCCTTATATCCATTACGCTTAGTTCTTTTCCAAAAAGCTCAGATAATTTCTATAATACATTTTGAATTTGTTTATGCTCTGTCTATAATGCTTCTAATGAGTACTCATGAATGAATTTAACAAATTATGGAATGACATTGCTTTATAGGCTAGAGAAAATTTTGAAGTAGAGAATGTTCTCCACACAGGTCAGGCCTTGTCTGAAGAGAACAGAGCCAGCAGAGGAAGTATATGTGCCTGTAGCTATGACGTAGGGTCTACAGGCTGGTGAGGTTTAGGAGATGGTCCTCTCAATAGTCAAGACAATACTGTATGGTTAAGAACTCAGCACCTTCAGTTAAATCCTAGTAATAATGAATACTAAGAGTACACGAGATAATATGTGTACAATAGGTACATGCTAAGCTTAGTATTTTTGTTGTTTGTAACAGAGGTAAGACCTACCTTACATCCTGCCTCTCACCTCTAAGAACTCCACAGACTTTTTCCAAACACTTAAAAAAAAACATTTTGCCGGGCGTGGTGGCGCACGCCTTT